TCATCCTTCATAGTCTCCATTAGTGGCCCAGTATCTGATCCTGGTTTCACAATGCCACACACATTGTACATCTTTTCCTATTATTTAGCATGGATCATCAAGAGTGTGTTGTATTATGGATGGAAACATTTTTGAAGAACAGTCTTTCTTCTATGAATTAATTTAACTCTATTTTAAAGTGATGGTTCTGTTTAGAAAATGTGTGAAATTACATTATGGATACTGAAATGGAACCAATACACCTGCTTTCACATAGGACTAGAAACAACTTAAAATTTATAATATTGGCAAATTGCACATGCTAAATGTGTTTCATATATATTATTCATAAACTCAAAAATAAAACAATGTATGAAGAAAATGTTAACTTTTATCATTCATCCATAAGTTACTTACTAATGCTGCATGAACTCCGAAGATATGTAACAGAGAATGAAAGGTTTACATACAGTCAGTCTAAAACAAATGGGAAGTGGTTTTGGGTTCTTTCAATTTTTCCTGGAAACATATTTAATGTTTTTAAATATATCTGAAAATATTTAGGCATTAATATAAAGCAAATTAACAAAAATACTCAAGCCACAAAGTGAATTCAAATTGAATTTGGCTGTCATATATTACAAAGGACTCAAAATTCAAAATTTCAGCAAAATCCATACATAGCAGGGTTACAAGATACATTCATATCAAAGCCTACATGTCCTAACACAGTGCTGCAAAAATTGTGCAATAACTGCAGAAACTGGGAGCTATTCAAAAGATAAACATCAATTTGACATACCTTCTCTTGCAGTATCTTCATCTTATCTGGAATGTAATATTCAAGAAGATCCTTGCCAAGCCAGTATGACCATAGGTAGCAACAGGAAGCACCAATTCCACTTAACAAACAAGCCAATGGGAAGCCCACATATATTCCAAACAGTGCTCCACCCAAGACATTCTACAAATAAAAAACACAGTTATGATGTTTACATTAATGATTTTATGATGATATATTGTTTGTACATACCATGCATTTGCTGCAAAATTTATGGATATGATGAGAGAAGGATTCTAAATTGCAGACTATTATGCAATCATGATTAGTAGTAATTAATACCTATAGTACGTTTGAAAACCATACAGCATATCACAAATGGGCGCATTTCTTACAACACAACATTCATGTTTGTATGCTGGTAACAATAATAGATCAATGTAATTCAAATAAAAGTACTTTAAAGCTTTCCATAATAGTTAACTAGATCACATGTAATCAAAATGAAACAAAGAGGAAAGAAGGTGAAGACAAATTGTATTTATTTATTTGTTTATTTGCAGTTTATTTATCAAATTATTTATGTGAGAGTAAATAATGAACTGAAGTTCAACAGATCATTGAAGGTCGCAGTGCGAGGGCCGGTTTCTACGGCTCACCCCTCATACTCAAATAATGAACTGGAAAGGATGTGGAAGGTACTGATCATAGCCTAATTTAAGGTACAATCCTGTCATTTACCTGGACAGACTAAAGAAACCAGAAAAAAAAAACTTAGAATATTCAGGGTTTCGAACTGGGCACCTCCCAGACACAAGTTAGAAGCATTACTACTTTAGCCAATTTGGTCAGTGTAAGAAGATGAAAACAGAATTTCATCTTCCTATGGTGGCAACAACATGAATCCAAATAAAATATACAACAATTGTATAAAATATACTTGTTAAATTTTCCAGTAGCCTATATGTCATATTTCAAGTCCATCAATTCTGGACTATGTCATTATGTTTAGACAGGCACAACAATATGCTGCACCTAAAAGAGGGCAACCAGGAGAGCAGAGTCAGTATAGCCACTGGGTATGGACTGGACAGTCGAGGGGTTGGATTTCAATACCAACTGCTTCAGGTCCAATGGTTACTGGGACCTCTTTCCCCTGGCGTGAAGCTGCCCATTCACATTCAATTGGTCCAAAGGTCAGGAACATGTGGATCTATACATCCACTGCCCCATGCATCTTCATGGTGTAGTGCTTAACCGTTCAGCGTGGTTTGACGTGTATGTTTCGTCAAGGTATTTAAATTGTCTGCGGGGGTTCGACGTCTATGTTTCGTCCAGCTGCACACCTATGTTATAACGCCCATAATAATTGATGGTTTTGCTGTAGATTGTTAGATTTTTCGCTGGCCTGTTACATATGCCTGTCTTGCAGCAAATTCGTGCTGCTTCTGGTAGAAGTTTCCTGTTCAAACTGTTATGACTGGAGTGTTTTCTTTCCTATGAAGTTATAAACAGCAGAGACGTGATATGTACTGTGTTTATAATATCATATTGCCCTGAGCTGGCCACACTAACACACTCAATTAGAATTCTTAGAAGAGGGATGTCCAAAAATTTATTCTTGCAAAATCGATTGATTTAGCACAGTACATTGCAGCCAGTTCTTAGAAAAACGCCACAAATTAAGGCAGAACACTGTAGTCACCCCCTGTGACGATACGGGTGTGTGTTGGGGGGGGGGNATGAGGAAAATCACTGAACGGGGAGCCTTCAATCAGAACGGCAAGTTTCCCCACCTAAAACAGGATCCTCCCTAAATACAAGTCACATGTATAATCATGAATATGCTGGATTAAAATATTTGGAATAGGTAAATGTATAACAGCAGCAAATAAACTCATCCAAAATCAACTGCACATAAAAATATTCATTGAAGGGCAAGCCAACTTGATGGATTCTTTTCAAGTAACTAGAAATCTGTTATGAATGATCAATGTAACATAATACAATCACTATATTTTAACCTTTAAGAGCCGAGCGACACCATATGGCGTCATGAAAATAAAGTCAAGGGGACGAATGACGCCATATGTCGTCATAAACGGAGATATACAGGCCCACATCTCTGCATACCAAAGAAGGTACGTGTATATGCTTCGAGACATGCGAGGCTAAACATAATCATCTTCATTACCATCCGCTGTGTTGCCACATTTACATAGAGCGTTATTGCTTCCAAGAACTATATGAATTCTTGTAGGCAGACGACAAATTTGGGAATTTTATACTTGGAATCAGTCTAAAAATTTTTACACATTTTATGAAGTCTCTAAATTACAATATCTGATTCTATATTCTATCTAAAAAAACAGCGTTTATTTGGTTCGTTTATCACAAAAATTGTAGAAATCACAGCAATTTTAGGAAATGATTACAGTTTTTATTGCTTTAAAATTGCGGGTATTTAAATCAAATCCGTCCCGCTGCCGTTACCGGAATTTAAAGGGCCGTCACTTAAAGGTTAATTATGAACCTAGTAAAAAAAAGGGTAAGATACTGCTATCCCTGTAACAGGCTGTGGAGGCCCATTGTGTTGTGAGATGTCGAGGCTCCCACATTTTCTAGATAATTGACTCACAGATTGCAGTGAGGTTGTCAGCCATACACGTCAGCCACCCTTTACCCCCAGGAAGACTCCTGCACGAATTAGTAGGCTTTTAGACTGTGCTAGAACGAGTACATTAAATGTATATGTTTTGAAATCTAATACACCCAGATAAGAAGAGAATTTTGGAAAATGCAAGTCTAACATTTATACATAGAAGTACAGTAATTTTCACATATTGTGATAAACAATCACCAAGAGCATGAGTCTGAAATTATACAAAATACTAGTTAAGCTATGCAAGAATTCACAATTCCTAATGTTTGGAGAGAGCCAATGGTAGGTTACTGCACTGTTGCTAGTATTCAGTGTCAGAGAAATCTAATTGAACATTTGGACGGGAAAGAGAGATGTTAATGTCTGTATCATAACAGACAAATCAAACATGTCAAAGATAATATAATGTCTCCTTTGCTTTCTCATATATATAGTATACATGTGAAGGTACTGTATTGAGACTGTGAAAAATTTACATGTTTTCAGCCTCCACTGTTATGAGAACATTGTTTTTAGTGTGCCACCTGTCTATTTGTTTTATGTGAGGGTGTGCACACATGCATGCTTGTATGCATATGTATGTATGTATGTGTGCCCTGCTAGCATCAGAACAATTTGATGGATTTTATTAGTTATTTAATACTTACCAGCAATGCAGAGCCAGGAATGATGAATGTCTGTTTATAGATATAGGCACTACAAAATAAGACCAATACATATATCCAGTTCCTGTCTTTATATAACTTAAGAATCTTGGTTAGATGCTGCAGATCTTGAACAGTATGTGGGAAATGGAGATCAGGCTGCAAACAATTAATAACGGCATAATCTTAAATTAGTCTCAAGCAATAGTAGTAATTAAATTACATTAACTCAAACTAGTACACCCTTTACAACCTACTGATTTCAATTAACTCGAGTTCCAGCTTCCATAAATTACATATAAGCAAAAAGGTGTGTATACTATAAAATAATTGTGGAAGTCTACTAACCACAAAATGATGATGATTACAGATGACTGGAATTTCTAATTTTATAAATAACTGTAAATTAGTCTCATTTTATTGTGCAAATTGAAAGGACATACAAAATATGAAGTATCAGGCTATAACTGCCACAATTTTTATCAGCAGTTTAATTGATTTTAATACTATATGAGTTAAAAGCTGGGTACAACATCTTTAACATTTGGTACAGTCATCTACTGAGGTCCTTCTCCATGGAATAATAAAAACTGCATCATAACAGATATCATACTACAGCACAAACACAATGATACCTTTAACAGACTGTAAACATGGTTACCACAAAAATGGTATGGTGCACATGGTGAAAGAAATTGCATATAAAATGATATCATATATATATACTGTAATATAACTCCACAGGTTATTTTTTAAGTTTCAGTCCATTCATCAATTGCTCTTTCAACTTACTGCATCTTCTGCATCAAGTGCTGGAGCTAAACGTGATAAAAGATATAACCATGCAGTTGCCAGGGTCCAAACTGGTACAAGATATAATATGTGACCCATGGTACATGAGGTTTGGTTGGAGTCTGTAACAATAGGGAATAAGATATTAAGAAACTATACAACATATACTCAACAAAGAAATTAAACAGAGCAAATACATTTAACCTCTTTGCTGACAACCTCAAGTATACTCATTACTTCAATAGGTGTCTGCCACATCAACCATCTTCACTCAGTTCAATTTTGTTATCCATGCGAACTCCAAAAAACAACAAAATTATATGCCTTTTGAACATGTGAATCACTGCCAGACTCAAATAACATCAGACAAAAGTCAACCATCAGTAGACTTGGCCAATTACAATGAAAAGATTTCCCCAAAAAGTGACCAGCCCATTGATGTCAGTTCTTCCTGGATAAGAGAGTCCAGTGACTGAGATTAACTCTTTCTAACACACTCAACAAAGTGCGTATCTCCCACCTTGCCTGGAAGATAATTTTCCAAACAATGTGTTCCTTGTGTGTTTCTGTTTGGTCTTGTTACAATAGCATTCCACAACTCTCATCTGCTTCTATGTACTGCTGTTTTTCTTTTGGTTCTGTGTCTTTTGTTTTCAATTCAATCTGATGAATATTCGTAAAATGCTTCTCTTTTATCATTTATCATCTGAGATAAATTATCGTTCCATTTTTTCATCCTTTTTTTACACCATTCTCTTTTTTATCTGTAACATCTCTTTTGCTGCTTGTCTGGGTATTTTCTGAACATTTTTCCAGTTTCTTGCTGGGTCAGGTTACCTACAGAGATATTTTTCACCCACATTCAGTTTACATATGCACTTTAATAATATCCTGCACTACTATAGACAAATAGTAACTCACGAAATCTGAATACCTACCACAAGTCCATGCCTTAAGTGTCAAATAAATTAGATTGTTGCTCCGGGACCAGAAAACAGAACGAAATGATTTAATAAACTTCGAAGCCTGTGCACAACTCATGAACACAATCCAATGCATGTGCATGCTATACAATCCCTGAACCCCGGGTCTCTTTTTTTTTTAGTAAGGTAAGGTTGGGTTGTGTCAAAATTAAGCACATACATAATAACTTTGAAACTGCTGTATATTCGAGTTCGTACGACTTAGTTTCACGACATATACTTTTACAATCCAGAAACCGTGCGGTTTACACATGCTGCCTATAAATTTAAAAAATTTCAAACTTTCACCATTCGCCCTAACTTTTAAATCTTTCTTTCCTCTGCTGTATCCACGGATCACAGGAAAACATACATAATCTCACTGTAAAAGGTCAGTTAGAAGAGAAATAGAAGTTCACCATCGTTCCGAAAAGATGGCAGCACTAAGGGAAAATAAACAGATTTTACATTGGAGGGAGATATGTTCTGGAACTGTAAACTGTACGAGGACCAACGGGCAACAGTGATGAACATTTTGTCTGAGAACAGGAAAAAAGAATACCCGAAGTCAGTTATAGGCCGAAGAAAAAAGATTACTGCAAGGCGTGTTACTTCATAAACAACATTCCTATAAAGAAAGCCGTTTTCTGAGATGTGGCGCCGTGTAGAAATTGTGTTAACCGACGTATCAGAGGAACGTATCACCTCCATCTTCAGGGTAGAAGACAAGAATAAATCCGTGAGCGAACCAGCTAGTCTCTTCCTATCCTCTACCCTGAAGATGGAGGCGATACGTTCCTCCGATAATTCGGTGAACACAATTTGTACATGGCGCCACATCCCAGAAGACGGCTTCCTTCATAGTCACCGCCGTGAAAATATCAAATCTTAACATAACATTCCTATAGCTATACGTGGTATAGTCACTAAGTTCGTGGAATGTGGTCTTATCGCATCATATTACAAGGTATTAACATACACTTTCGCAGATCCACATTAGCCCTCAAAATAGTTGCCGTTTGCCACTATTCAAGTCTGCCAACGTTGATATAGCTGTCGAAAACACTGCTGAAATATATTGGCAGCAAATTCCCGTACAACGCTTTGCGTCCAATCCACGAACTTATTGACTGTGGTAGTATACTATAAACTATATACACAGTGTGTCCAGGTTCTGTTAGGACTGTGTTCATTAAAAAACAAGACGTGAATTATTTTCAAAATTGGCGGCCCAGATTTGATTCCGGGATAACCGTGACGATTTATGTCACATATTACAGGTGGTAATGACGCCATTCTCGGTGAGGGTGGCCCAAGAAACCAGAGCATTGAAGGAAAAATCTAGGAGACATAGTGTGTTGTTGCTTGGGGGTAGTCAAATGAGAGGATGTGCGTACTTGCTAAAACTCAACTTAAATAACAAGTTTGGTGTTAGCGGATTTGTAAAGCCAGGTGCAAAGTTTAGTAATATTTTAGATGCTAATATCGACAAAGACATGTCAAAGGATGATGTAGTGGTGGGTGCTGCTTCTAATATTAATATTAAAAATGCAAAGGAAGGACTGAGAAACATAATTAGCTTTCTAAGGAGGCTCAGTCATACGAACATCATAGTTATGGACGTTATGGAAGCACCACACAGACATGATTTAGTTGATTGGTCATGTGTTAATCAAGAGGTTAGCTAATTTAATATACATCTAGCCAGAAGGCTGAAATCTAATTGTTATGCCGCAAATTTCGAGAAAGGAAATTTGAGGCATGGACCCAAATGTTACGATAATTGCAAAGGAGTTTCACATCAATTAGAGCAAGGATGGTAATACATAGACTGTGGAACTCGGTCAAGAATGTTTTAGTCAGCAGAGATGCGTAATCGCACCACTGCAAGTTTGTATTTGTAGGCCACCGGAGAAAAGTGAAATTGCTAAATGCACATGGGAGGAGACGCCGCGGATTCGTTAGTGAGAATAGCAGTTTGAACCAACAGGGAGCCACCGCCCTTAAATTTAGGGCAAAGGGAGGAGGTAACTTCCCTCTTTTGTCAGCTGCTGCGCCAGCTGTTTTAAGTATAAAGGCGGGAAAGAAAGGCTTTTAGGGGATCGATCGAAAACGTAATATTAGACAAGTAGCCGAAGGCTCTGTTCGGTATGGGTGCTATAAGTGGTGCTGTTCGCCTGCGTCTCTATCTCAAGTAAGTCAATTTGCTCATACTACCCATGTTACATAAATTTATTGTTGTTTGTGAAATTGTTGAAGTG